TGGTTGACGGGCTGGGGCTTGATGTAGTTCTCCAAGAAGTAGAGGTCGCAGTCGTACAGGCTCCTCAGCAGGTCGCGGCTGGCCCCCAGCATGACCCGCCTGTCCGTCGTGCTCTTGCTCTGGGTCAGCTTCGGGATCAGCGTGTACTGGACGTGGTAGAGGGGCTCGAATAAATAGAAGACGTCGAAGTGCTGGTTAAAGAGCTGCCCCACGAAGGAGGAGCCGCTGCGGGTGGTGGCGAGGATGAGGACGTGCGTCTTCCTGGAGAGGTTGTAGGCGAAGGTGGGGCTCTCGTCGCACAGCCGGTCGGGTGCATCGGTGTCCTGGCTCAGGCTGCAGTTCACGGGGCTGGGGATGGGGCAGCTGTGGAAGGACTTGGCGGTGAAGGTCCGGATTGCCGTGTACTGGATCGCAATGGATGCCAAGGCTAGTAGGAGGACAGCCTTCCAGGAACATTGCATGGCTGGTCACCTTCATGGGGCTTCTTCACAGGTCGTCTTGGTGTCTGCAACCCAACAGAGAAGTCACGGGTTGAGCAAGGACTGCTGAGGAGGACCCAAGTATTCCTACTGGGTGCACCACACACCCTCCCACAGAGCACGTACATCGCTCATAACCACGTGGATCCCAGTGACGCACTGCAGAGCCCTGCTTCGGAGGAGGACAACTGGCAAAATCCCAGTGGCTCGCCCCATACACCCCCAGTGCTGAGCTGGTGCTGCTGGCTGGGTCCTGCTCTGCTCTGGGATTTGAGCCCCCTACACAGCTGATCGTGAGAGGAGGGAAGCAGGAGGAACTGCATCTGCTGCATCCTCTGGTGGCTGCAAGTATGCCCTGGGGGTGACTGCCTCCTCTGGTACAAAGCGGTGGGAGTTGTTCCCCTGGGCTTTTGAAACAGACTCGGTCAAGGCAGTAGCCACCAAAAAAAAAAAAGGAAAATCTTATTTTCCTTGGTTAGTCCCTCAAGCTTTGGGAAATAAAATCCCCGAATGCTTACACGCACCAGAAGCTGCTCCTAAACCACTCCAAGCCTTTGGGGCAGGACGGGAGGATGCTGTAACTCCTTTCAAAGCCCCAGCAAGGATTTTCTGCTGTGGGTCCCTGCTGTGCCATCCTCCTCTGCTATCTGCAGGCTTGCACTCGGGTCTGTTTGCAGACGTGGGAGCGCAGCCTCACGTGGACAGCGATGCGTGTAAGAGGAAGCAGATAAGCACCAGCGCTGGGTGAAGGAGCCCACCGTGCACAGCCCTGGGTGACATGGCTCCGTGCCCCTTCTGCAGCACCCTTCACTGCCCCTTGCCCACCAGCCTCCCACATTTCCCCCCATGTGGCACGGGCCACCAATGGATGACAGGTGAGCTGAAAAACACATTTTAATTTTTTAATTATTGCTTTTATTATCTACTGATTGCCCCAGCTGCTGGCTCCAGAGACCTCTCACAGGAGAGGGGCTTTCTGCACCCTGTGGTTCAGAGCACGGGTGATTCCCCAGGTGGAATATTCTTTGGCAAAAGCGCTGGCTTGGCGGCCTCCTGAGGGTTCGGAGAACCCAAGGGCTTATTTATTTTTCCAGGTCTGCTAAGCCAGGACGTCCTGCTGGCATCCCCTGGTCCAGGTGACTCATGGAAGTGCCATCTCCTGGGTGGAAGGTGCGAAGTGGGACCTCTTTCCTGCTCTCTAGTGCCGGCCAGCCACACTGCACCCTTCAGGCAAAGCCTCAACTTTTACTCCGTGCTGGTGGAGAGCGGAGCTGACGCCACTCAGGTGGTCCTGATCTCAGGTTCCCCACCTGCCCCATGTCCTCTCCCCTTTGCAACACACCAAGCTGAGCAAGGGAAGCAAAGATCCACGTACTCAGAGCAGATGGAAAGCAGCAGTGTCAGCCCAGCATCAGCCTCTGCTGCCCCTCATCTCCCTTTGCGTGTGCCCTGCCCGATCACCAAGCTGCAGTGAGGGAGGAGCGGGTTTTGGGAGAAGTATCCCTCCCTGATGTCTCATCTGCGGCTCTTAAAGCCAGCAGGAGCCTCCTCCCATCACTGCGTCCCAGGAGATGCGGTTCCTGCTCAGCCCTGGCCCTCTCGCAGAACGACGAGCACCCCTCGCTCCTCTCTTGGCCACATGCAGAGCCTGCTGGCAGGAAACACCCGAAGAGGAGCTGCACGACCCTGCACCGTTCAGGGCAGCTTTTCTGAGCAGTGTTTGCAGTGAGCGTATTGCAGGAGGATGTGCCGGAGAGGGCACCTGGTCTCCTTTGGTGCTGGGATCACCCCTGCCCCTTTCCCAGCCCTAACTCTCCCTGGTCACAGCACACCAGCCGTGCCCCTGCCTCGCCCGTGTCTCCGTGCAGCTGCCTGGGAGCAGGCTGGCCATGAGGGATGCGCTGCAGGAGGCCAGCCAGTGCCTGGCACGGGGACAGGAGCATTGTCTGCCCGAGGAGGAAGGTGCCGAGCCTTTCCTCTCCCCCACCCTGCTTCCCCCAGCCTTCATCCGACAGGATGGGCGAAGGCGATGCAGCCTCCCCCACCACGCGACAGCGGCGGGTGTGCAGTCACCTGCCCTCCTCCTCCTCTTCCTCCCAGCACTGCTCCAGCCCTGGAGCACCACTGAGGCTGGAGGTGATGAATTAAGCTGTACGGCCTCTGTGAGCCACCGGCACAGGGAGCGTGGCTGGGTGCAGCACAGGGGATGCTGAGTGCCGGGCTCTTCCTTTGGGGACAGTGCTCAGGTGGCGACAACTTGTTCTGGGGGGCTGCATGGCACGGACTTGGCATTTGAGGACTTGTCACCCCCTGTCATCACGGGGAGCTCCAGCAGCACCTTGTGTGCTGGTGGCAGAGCGGGGCTGGCTGCCTCCTGCCCTGAGCCCTCCCCACAGGCTCCCCCACTGCTACCCAGAGGTGGCCGTGCTCGGGCACCTCGGGTACGACGGCAGCTCCAGGCAGGGGACCATGCAGCAACGCCACTGTCACTTCTGAGTGCCTGTTTCCAAGGCTCTCTTGCGGGGCAGCCAAAAACCAGCAGCTCTTTGGGGCTGTCTTCAGGCTGCCCCCTCCCTCCTCAGCTCGCCAGGAGTTGGGCACCTCCAGGGCAATCCCCGTGCCTGGCAGGGGCTGCAGCCGGAGGCTCGGGGGCGATGCAGGTGCCTGGCCGAGCCCCAGGGTGATGCCGGGGACGTGCCCGCGCCCACCGGGGCTGCCCACCCGGGTCTGGGATCTAGGGCCCTCTGCCCCTAAATCTGATCACCGCCAGCAAGCCTGTTTCCATGGAAACCGCACAGTGACTCAGGACTTTGGGACCAGCTGGAAAACACAACTGTGAGCAGCAGGCGCCCGGGGAGGCTTCGGGGGTCTCGGGGCAAGGCAGAGGGGTGAGGAGCGCAGGGAGCGGGGCACGGCCCCCTGCTCGCCTGTGTGCCCGGGCACTCTCCCGCTGGTGCAGAGGGGCACGTTGGGACACGGGGCGAGGGGATCCCAGGAGCCAAAACCCCTCTCCTGACACCCGCGCTGCTGCAGCACTGACAAGTCCGCGCTGCAGCACACGCGGCAGGGAGCAGATCCCAAAACGTGCCCGGCCGCAGGCTGCCCCCAGCCCCCCGGGGATGGGGACCCACGCGTGCGTGGGCACCCACGGGGCTCCCAGCACCGTCACTTCCACGGGCAGCACCCTGGGGTGCAGGGCTCCTTCCCGCGGGGCAGCCCCTGACCGCGGCAGCCTTTTGGGGACGGGAAAGCGGGGTCTGAGCCGCAGGATTGCAGAGCAGCTCTCAGCCTGGGGACCCTCCGGCACGGCCACTGCTGCTCCCCAGCGTCCTGCCACTTCACCTGGCGAAACGACACGTTGCGGCCAGCGAGGCGGGGAAGGCGAGCCGCACGGTGAGCATCCCACGCGGCTGCAGCGGCTTAGTCATGCTTGCACCTCTGCACATCCACGCAGCAGCGGCACGGGCAGGCAGCACCCCGGGTTTGGGACCCCCCCCACACCCTCCCGGGACGCACGGCTCCGAGCAGCCCCGGCTTCCCCGAGCCGTCCCCGTGCCCCTCGCAGCCAGGCCGGCTCAGCATCGCCTCCTCCTCCGCACCGGGGCTCCCCTGCGGCCGTGGCTCCGAGCTGCGCCCGGAGAGCCCCGGGCTCGCCCCGCTCCGCGCCCGCATCGCCCCCCGCCGCCCTCCGGTGGGCAGAAGGCTCGGGGCACCCTGCCGCTCCCCATCCCGTCCTCCTGCCCGAGGCACCGACGGGTCACCGGAGCCGAAAGCATCCCGGAGGGTTTCCGCGGGGCTCTCGGCTGTTCCCTACCGGCACCGGGCACCCTCCTGGTGAGTTCCTGGGTCCCTCCCGAGTAACGCCAGCCCCAGCCGCTCCCGGACTTTCCTCGTGGCAGCACCCACCTGCACCCTGAGGGGTACCCTCATCTGCTCCGGGCTGCCCGAGCGTGCCCACCCCGCAGCGCCGGGCCGGGGGGAGCTGCGAGGGGCAGGGCAGGGCAGGGCACATCGCTGCGGGGCACGTTGCGGGGCTCGTTGCGGGGCTCCCCTCTTCCAGGCGGCAGCCTCCCGCCGAGCATCCCCGACTTTCCCGCAGCCCTCTCCCTTCCTCCCGGCACCGAGAGCTCCGGGAGGGGCCGGCCGGGCAAAGTTAGCCCTTGTCGCAAAGCAGGGAAGGGCTGGGGGGGGGCAGCCCCTCGCTCCCCGCCGCCCCTTACCTGGCGCAGCGCCGCGGCGAGCTCCCCCCGCATCCCCGGCGGCTCCCCGCCGCGGCTCCCGGCCCGGGGGACGCCGAGCCCCGCCGCCGGAGCTCAGCCGGCCGTGCCGAGAGCCGGGCTCGGGGCCGCCCCTCCACGCCCCGCGGCCGGGCGAGGCGAGGGGAGGGCCGGGGAAGGGGCTGCGCCCGCTCTCCCCTCCCTCCTTGCCTTCCCTCCCTCCCCTTCTCCCTCCCGGCAGCGCAGCCTCCGCGCCGCCCCGGCGTGCCGAGCTGCAAACTCCCAAGTTTTCTTCTCTTTTTCTCTTTTTCTTTAATTTCTGCAGCCCTCCCCACACGCACACCCCGAGGCGCGCCCCCCACCTACCCAGGCGCTGCGCGCCCTCCCCGTGCCCCCTGCTGGGCGAGCCGGGCCTCGGTGGGCGAGCACCGCCCGTGGGGAGCCGCGGGGGTCCCGGGGGTCGCCCTCCAGCGCCAGGAGCCCTCCCTGCTCCGCCAGGGCCACGGGCAGAGGCCGTGACGGGAAGGTGCCATCCCGACCTCCGCTGAGGTTCCCCTTGGTCCCTCCTGCTCCAGCTCGACTCCTCCAAGCAGGTCGGGCTCTTACTTTGGGCAACTTTTTGCATGTTTCCCCTTCTGCCAGGTGTTTGCTGTGCTTTTGTTGCTCTTTATCTGCACCTCCCCTGACCTGGCAGCTGCAGTGAGCACCAGCTCGTGGTTCTGGAGGTGCTGCAGTGGATACTCGTGTCCTGCACCCCACCTCACCACCTACATGTCGGGTGCTGACAGCAACATCCCGGGCTGTGCCCCACGGCTCGGCCATTCCCAAATCCTCCCCCCCGGCTGCAGGATGCTGGAAGCATTACTGTGAGATCCCAGCGCCAGGCAGGGGCTCGGGACAGCCTCACCCTGCAGCCAGCGGGTTGGGGGAAGCAGTGGCACTGGGGTCCCTGCACCGCAGTCGTGTCGAGAGAGAAAATCCCTGGATACGCTGGCATCGCCTCCGCTGTGAGAGGCGAGCCAGGCTGTGCTGGCGAGTTCAGGGCTCTCAGATCGCCGCTGTTCAATCTTGGGAAGCACAACAGCACAACAGCAGAAGCGTCGCTTTTGATTTTCGGCATTTGGGACTGGTGTTTGCTGTTAGGAGCACCCGGAGCTTGCATGGCCAAAAATACTGGTATTTCTCAAGTCTTCCAGAATACCCTGACAACCCTAGCCCCCTTAATCTAATTTTAGAAAACTTTGTGGGGATTTTATATTTATAAACAGTTGGTGCTTAAATATTACTCCTCTCACCATAGCAACAGCTCCCCATCGTAGCATCCGTTACACCGCGCCAGTGCGTCGCTGCAGCCTTGTTTTGGGTGAGAAAGCCCTCAAATCACACTCGCTCATGCTCATTATCCTGTGCCTCATGTGGGGCACAGCCCGATGCCCCTGCCTGCCCAACCATCCCACAGCCAGGGCTCTCGGTGCTTCCTCAGTACCCATGTGCCTGTGGTGTGAGCCGAGGATGCTCACATTTATTTGGTGCCTCTGGTGGGGAGGAGATGGCTGCCCCGGAGGGGTTTTAGGCAGCACCGTGTGCATGGCAGGTCACGCAGCTCTGCTTCGAGTGGTGGCCTCGGGTTTTCACATGTGGCTGTGAGCAGGGGTGCAGAGGTTGTTGCCAACTTGGTGAGTCAGAAACGCTCACGTCTGAAAATTTTAATCTGAGCTCAAATGCAGTTTGAAAGCCTCCAATTTCCATGCTCTCTAGCAGGAGATTTCTGTGAAGCCTTTGTGTTTTCTCCTCCTGAGTTATGGTTCAAAAAATCTACCTTAACAACATAATCTGCTTGGGAATATATGTAATAAAATACAAATGTGGATGTTAAGGTGATGTGAAGGTTACTGTTCTAATCACTCAAACGCAGCCAGGAACAAAGTTATGATTTGCACAGTAATCCAACCACGTTATATCCCCCGTACGCCTCGCGAAGGGCCGTTAACATAAAGAGCAACGTATTAAGGCACATAAATTCCAAGGGAGACTAATAGAAAATACTATTTGTGTGCTTAAGCACCGCGGGTTGATAGCTCCTGAACCGCCCGTGTCAGGTTGTACACGGCAGCGTTTACCAACCCACCGGCGTGCCGCGGCTTTCCTTAGGGGATTTCGGCTCCCTGCGGGCTGTGAGGGAAATGTGACAGGCACTGCAGCAGCCAAATGCACAGGGGGATTGAGAAGAAGGCTGTGGAGGAAGAGGTGCTGTGGTGCCGGCTGTGGTGCCAGGGCTGCAGTCACCGTGACCGCCTTCTCCCCTCAGCTGCCCTGGGGCTGTGCGTGGAGCCCTGCGGGAGCCAGGGGGCTGTGAAAACGGCCCCCAGGCCTCAGCTAAGGCTTCTCAAGGCAATTTCGGATGCCTTGGTCTTCAGGGAGGGAGTCTGGAAGGTTCTGGGGTCAGCCGACTTTCAGAAAATGTCCTTCCTCTCTGGCCTTCAAAGCCTTAACGACAGGCTTTGGACTTAACGTCCTTCTGTGGTTCAGAAGTGAGAATAAACAGCTCATGTTATAATCCCTCCTCTTGAAGAGCTTATAAAGCCCGCTTGTGCAGGACTTGTAATGTAGCTAATGATGTGTTTATGCGCCACAGCCTTTCATTCCCCTTCCTTTTTGTCTTTCCTTCCAATTAGCCGAGGAACACGACGTGACAAAACCCTCACCACCGGTGCAACACCGGCGCTGGGTCCTGAAACGCGGAGACATCAGGAGTGGGGAAAATGGGTAGGATCAGCAGTTCACCCTCCCTGTTGGTGTTGGATTTACACACTGGTAAGTGTGCAGGTGGGCCAGGTGAGGCTAGCCATCTCAATACGATGTTGTTGCTTTGATGTCCTTACACCGTGGTGGCTACAGATCAGCCTTAAATTGCAGAAGGAAAATTTTCCTCCTTTACACACACAAAATGAATAAATAAATAAATAAAAATACCACCAGCTATCCATTTACATGCACCCAGAATTTAGGGGCTGAGTGGGCAATGGCTTTTTAGCCATGCCACAGCAGGTCACCAGCTGCTCCTTGTCCCCAGCCCATCCCATGTGAGAGGAGAGGTCCCATGGTGGCAGTGGACACGTTGCTGCAGCGCTGGGTGCAGCGAAACGTTCCCCTTCTCTCCTGTCTGGCACCCAGCCACTGGGTTTCATTATGCCTCTGCCTATTAGATTAAAGAGCTATCTACTATCACAACTATTTTTCCTCGGTAGGTATTAATAGATCATGATCAAGGCACCTCTTAACCTTCTCTCTGAGAAGTTAAATAGACCAAACCTTTTTATCTCTCACGATGAGGCAGTGTTTTTTGGGCTTTTCATCGCTCTTGTGGTTCTCTCCCACCTGCCTGGTGTCTGCTTGGAAATGTGGACCTGTGGGGGCAGGCAGCATCCTGGGACTGACCCTGCCAACACATCCCTGCTCTGTTTTTACCTATTTGTGTTCTCGTATGTGTGAACACACCAAGATGCATGTCCCCAGGGGACCTCCAGCATCTCCTCCTCACCCTGTCTCCTGCATTTCTCTTGCTGGGCAAAGAAGAACTAGATTTTGGATGGGTCTGGCCTGTCTGTTAAGAGTGATCTTTTGCTGTTATGCTCCTGCTGGGTTACCAGAAAGTAACAGAGCTGTGATGACTTCTGCTAATGTGGCACCTGCACTGGGGCTGGTCAGACCTGGGCTGGGTGGTGCTCAGCTCAGCTGACTGTAAAAGTGTCCTTGGCTATGAATACAGCTGTGCTTTTAGCCCTGTTTCTGCTCACCCTCCTGGTGCACAAACACACCAGCCATGCCAAGCTGAATATTTCTGTTAAAATCCTGCAAGCGGGGTCAGGGGAGCAGCTCTTGTCTCCACGGTGCTTTTTCTGCTGAGCTTGCAAAGCGGTGCTGCTTTTCCTCCAGGCGTGATGCTGGAGCTGATCCCCAGGCTGCTGAGCCAGCACGGGGACAGGAGCAGGCAGGGACGTTGGCCAGGGCAGGGATGCTGGCTGGTGGCCCCAGAGGAGCGAGAGAAGATGTCCTGGAGCCCCCCCAGGCCAGGAGCAGAGAGCAGGCAGGGTCTACAGGTCCTGACCCCTGCAGACACACTCCTTGGCTCGCCTGCGAGATGGCCCCAAGGAGGGTTTGGGGGCCTCAAAACTGAGTGCAGGTAGAGACCTGTGTTTGTGCCCTGCTGCCACAGCACCAGGGAGCAGGCCTCAGTGCTGCCTCAGGGCCTGCTTGCCAAACAGACCTTCTCATGAGGGTTTTTGGAAAATCTTTATCGTCCATCCACAGCAGAGCAGAGGGAGAAGCACCTCCGAGCTGGCTGTGCCTCCTCTGCCAGCCACCCCACCCTGCTCGAGCTGGCAGCAATCTGGTGGGAACTGACAGGAAATCTTTCGGTTTTGAGGAAAATGTCCTTCCCCAAGGAACGTGGTGGATGCTGCCTTGTTTCACTACAACTTTCACCTGCCCACGTGCTCCTTCAGGACCTGGAGACCCCTCCTGGGGGTGGCATCATGCAGCAGCATGGTGTGAGCAGGCAGGGCTTCCCTGCCACCCTCAGGAGGCCTCAGGTCCTACCTCCTGCTGGAAGCAGGGTCAGCCCTGGGGTGGGACCACCTTGCTCGGAGCTTTATCCAGCTGAATTGTGAAAAGCTCAAGGATTGAGCATACCATGGCATCTCTGTGGGCTTTTTTTCCACTGCTTGATTGGCCTCAAACAGTGCCATCAAATAGTTCCCAGGTCTGTGAGCTGTGTGGGGAAACCAGCCCTCTTTAGCCAGGAGCTGAGGCATGTGAAGGGACAACTTCTTGGCACGTGGGAGCCACAAATGGGATCCTGCAGGTCCCCCCCCCACCACGTACCCCTCTGGTGCTTCTTTGGGAATTTCTTTAGGGTTTTGAAAGCTCTAAATCATCAACAGCATCTGAGTATCTGCTGGTGGTTGGCGTGGTATGGAAGAGATGGTAGGCACATAGATACACATTTAATACTGTCACGCACATGGAAATGCAGCAATTCAATATAGGCTAAATATCAGTACATTATACTAAATGCATATTAATCCAAAGTGGCTCATATTTCTGCGTAGTTATGCATTGAGCACACAGTGAAGTATTTACATGTGTAGCACCTATTGCTACTGGCTCAGGTTAAGCCATATACTTATCAGAATAGGGTTTTTGACATATCTCATATACCACGAGAAGCTGTGATTCTTCTGGTCCTTTCAAAGCCTTTTTCCCCTAGGTAACACCTCTGTGATAACAGGTCAGTGGGGCCCAATCCTCAGCACCTCCTGTGCCTCTGCAAAGCCTGCTGGTGGCTTTTGAGTCCATCTCAAGCCTGCAATCTTGCAAAACACAATAGAAGGGGAAGAAACGTGTCTAGCCATGCACATCTGGTTGAGCGAGGAGGGGGCAGAGCCCTGTGTTGGGACTCCAGAGCCGCAGGCTCTCCTGTAGGGGCACGGCCACGATTTGGCCCCAGCAAATCGGGCACAAGGGAAGGGGCTCCCCACTGAGGCATGGGCTGGTGAAAGGGCTTCTGAGCTGCAGGGTTTGCTGGGCAGCGTGGCTCTGTCTGGCTGTCTGTCCTGCTGGGTGTGGGGGGGGGTGCAGCCGCCCGAGCATTGCTGGTTTATTTTGCAGGCGACGGTGATAATTTTCTGCCTGCTGCACGCTCTTTAATTAACAGCTCGGAGGATGTGGGGTGAGAGCGAGGCGTAATGAGCACTCCGTTTGCATATCAAAAGGCAGCATCATTAATAGCTATCCCTGTGAGCGCAGGGGCTCTGAAGGCAGGCGGGTCGTGGGCAGGCGGTGACACTTTGCACAGGTCACCCGTGCTGGCATCACTGGGAGCAGGGTGATGGTCCCCATGGGCAGACCTTTGCCACTCCTGGGTGCCAGGAGCTTCATTGCCACGGCATACATGGGAGCAGCCTCAGAAGTATTCTGGCAAGAGGGCCCCACGATAGCCTTGTTTCCAGGCAAAGGGGGAGCTCTCTGGGGATTTTTGGCTAAATCTCCCAAATCCGGCAATATCCGCAGCTGCTCTGCAGCGACTCCTTGCTGGGACTTCTCTGCCTGGCCAGGGGAGTTGTCCCCGGGTGGCCCCTGGCTCCAGACAGTGCCTTGGGAAGGCTAGAGCCTGGAAGACAGCTCATCCTGCTGCCAGGGCTGCTTGTCCTACAGCTCACACGGGGAAATCCCATGGGTCTCCCTCTGTCCGTGCTCAGCCAGCAGGATTAAATGTTCCTCTGCCTCTGGCTCCTGTGCGGAGGAGATCAGCTAGTGGGGTGACGGCGCCCTCCTGCACACAGGCTCCTCTCTTTCATTAGCTCTCCTCTAATTAAATGAGGAGGAGCACGATGCCAAGTGTTTCTTCTGCCGTGTCCCCCCTTTGTCTCAACTCCCCTGGCTCCTGAGCTGCCTGCCCGTGTTTGGACGACTTCGTCCAGATGGCCTCAAGCAGATGAGGACTTACAGCCTCCGGAGGAAGGGGCTGAAAGGATTTCCAGAGATGGATTTTCTCCTCATCCCCCTCTCTGCTAGGGCACCGAGAGATGCCGTGAGGGGCTGCACGCAGCCAGCTGGCAGAGCATGAGAGGGGCCTTGGTGGGGTTGCGGCAGGAGCCTGGCTCCCGTCCCTCCTGCTGCAAGCAGACAAGGACCCGGTGCTCTGCCTCCTGGGGCTGAAGGAAAGGCCAAATAAACAGATGTATGCTTAAGACGAGGAGCATGCTGCAGGGCAAATTTGCTACCAGACTCCTTGAAGCCAGCTAGAGGTGGAACAATGTAATGATCAAATTAAGGCGCAGTTAAGAGTAAATTGATGGGTCTGTGAGACATGGGGTTAGAAATTAGAGAGCGATTGATTAAGAATTAATATGTAGGCAACACTCATTGCTTAATGTGTGCTACGTTTGTGATGTACTGCGCCTGTGCTGCGCTTAGGCCTCCAGATAACAGGAGCCCCTGGGACCCCGAGAACCAGATCAAACCAACCTTATGGCTCGGACTGGGACCAAGGGCTCAGAGAGCATGCACAAGGAGACGAGATGGAAAGTTCAACTCTGATGAAGACGTCTTACTTCATCCCAACGCCACCCAGATGACCACCAGAGAGTACTACGCAAGTGCAGAAGGATTGATAAGATAATTAGCATACAAAGTAGGGCTAGGTGGAGCTAGGAAATCAATATACATAGATGTCCTGTGAAACTTAATGCATATGTTATATTTTAGGGGTTAAAAGAGAACACCAGTGAGCGAATTGTTGCGTATGCCTTTGGGAGCTATCCCACATGCACCCGGCACCGAAATAAACCACATGCCTACTTTATAACTCATTTGCTTTTGAGTTGTAGAGTTCTTCCACAAATCATCTGGATGATCAAGTGCCCAATGGACACAGTGGGTAATGACATCAAGAACTAAGGTTGGCATTAGGGAGAATGAATGATGTGATGTTCAGATGAAGGAGCAGCTGCCCTACTTTCAGGTGGGGTCTCACCAGTGTTGTGCAGGGATCGAGCCAGGGAAGTGGCCGTAGGACAGCTCCAGGGACCAGGAGCTCTTGGCACCAGAGAAACCTCTCAGCTGGCATCACAAGCCCAGCTTCAGTAGTGCTCTCCTCCCCAAATACCCCTGTCCTTATCCACCTTAAAGCAAAGGGAAAGGACGAGCACAAGCCACCTCCTAACGTAGCTCTTTCCTCCGTCTCAGTGAACTGTTGGCAGGACAGCAGCTCTGCAGGAGAGGGTTAGGGAAGGACCAAATCCTTCCCCCCA